GTTTTATGGCCTCAGATCCGATATTTAAGCTTTACTCCATTTGAGTTAATTTTTGTGAGTGGTGTAAGACTGACTGTGAGAATTTCATTCTTCTGCATGTGGTTATCCAGTTACCTAACACCATTTATTTTTTTTAGAAAGATTTTATTTATTTATTTGATAGAGAGAGAGAGATAGAGACAGAATACAAGCAGACAGAATACAAGGGGAGTGGGAGAGGGAGAAGCAGGTTTCCCGTGGAGCAGGGAGCCTGATGAGGGACTCGAGCCCGGGACCGTGGGATCATGACCTGAGCTGAAGCTTAACGACTGAGTCACCCAGGCATCCCACCTAACACCATTTATTAAGGAGACAATCCTTTCCCCATTGAGGATTCTTGGCTCCTTTGTCAAATATTAGTTGACCATATACATATGTATACACACACACACACACACACACACACATATATATATGTATGTTTATTTCTGGGCTCTCAATTCCGCCTCCATTGATCCCTATGTCTGTTTTTGTGCCAGTATCATACTGTTTTGTCTCCTATAGATTTATGATATGGTTTGAAACCAGGAAGTGTGATGCCTCCAGCTTTTTTCTTCTTTTTCAGGATTGCTTTGGCTACTTGGAGTCTTTTGTGTTTCCTTACAAAGTTTAGGATTTTTTTTTTCTATTTCTGTGAAAAATGCCATTAGAATTTTGGTAGGGATTGCACTGAATCTTTTCAGATTTGATAATAGCCATTTTTTGGTTGTGTTTTTTTTTTAAAGATTTTTTTTTTTTTTAAAGATTTTATTTGAGAGATAGAGAGCACGAGAGGGAAGAGGGTCAGAGGGAGAAGCAGACTCCCTGCCGAGCAGGGAGCCCGATGTGGGACTCGATCCCGGGACTCCAGGATCATGACCTGAGCCGAAGGCAGTCGCTTAACCAACTGAGCCACCCGGGCGCCCTTTGGTTGTGTTTTTGGAAAAAGAGTCCTTACATTTTAGAATTACTGAAATATTTACAGGAAAAAAAGAAAAAGCTATAATGCCTGGGATTTATTTCCAAATAATCAGGAGAGAGGGAAATGGGTGACAGTATAGATGAAAGGAGATTGGCCAGAAGTAGACAATTGTGGAAGCTGGGGGACAGGCACGGGGGGTGGTGGTGTCATTATGTTCCTACTTTTGTGTGTTTGAAATTGTCCACCTTTCCATGTTTGTTTATTTTTAAAGTAAATACAAAAGGGGACATTGAAAGAGGAACATCACAGGCCGAGCAGTTGTCGAGGTGGCTGTCAGGTCTGCCGTGCGTCAGCTGTGGGCAGGCTGGCTGCCACTGCAGTGGGCCATCTCCACCCGCCCCCCCACCTCCCGTCCTGCGGCCACCTCCCAGGAGGGAATGATCACAGCGGCTGTGGCCATCTGAGCCTGGCTTCACCACCGTTTCCACGGGGGAAGAGTTGGCTTCTGTGGACCAAAGTAGGAAGAGCGGTGATCCCGTGCAGCCGGGAAGAGCTGCAGTGTGGGAGAAGCAGGGTGGAGAAACAGAGGCTGAGAGCTCACTGCAGGGTAGGATAAGAGAGAGCAGATTTCTGGATCAGAGGCTGGGGAAAATCCTCACCAAATGGGTGGATGAGAGCAACAGATAAATCAGGGAAAGCATCTTCGAATGCAGAGCTTGATGAAAATGAAAGGCCCTGCAGGGAGGATGTGTGCTTCTCCTTTGCTCGAAGACAAGCCACCTTGAAAATGGCTGGTGCCCTGAGAAAAGACCATTTGTAGGCTCGACTGTTTAAGAACAGGGAACACATTTCCCGTGGGGGCACCATTACATGCAGTGTGGGGTTCCCAAGTTCCCCCTTAAAAGTTTATTTATCCAGTTTAAATGTTGAGCATTTGCACCTGAAGTCGCTAAGACCATTATAAAGGTTCGGCAAGATAGACAACACTGGAGTTACACTTCTGGCCAGGAAGGTGGCTGCCTGCAGCCCTCAGGGGCTGTGAGGAAGACTCGCGGGTGGGTGGGAGGGAGCCCTTCCAGATATAGGAGTGAGGTTGGAGGTGAATACATGGCAGGGGCGGGCGCAACCCCTCTGTCCTCCTTCCTCATCTTTGTGAAGGAAAATTCTGAAGTGTGCTTTGAAGCAATTGCCAAATTAGCCTTGAAGGAGGCCCCATGAGTTAGGAGGGAATGTTAGGAGCAAGGCCAAACCCGTCCAAGACAGACATAAATGTTCTGAGGATGTGATGTGCTGAGCTGGTCATCATCCTTCAGGTCTTTGGGATGCCTCCAGGTGACCATCCCCACTCCATATCCCTTCAGACTCTAGCCCCGTGGCTCTCTGACTGATTTCTCACTTCCACATTTGTCAAAATTGCAGGGTCACATTGACTCTTATCTTTGTTTTTATTTTTGATGTTCCAAACACAGCATTCCTCAAACAATCTTTTCTATCAGACCTGTAACTTCTTCCTGAAGCCAGCATCCAGAATGCAAATACCAGATCCATTCGGCAGGTTCAAAAAATAGGTCTCTGATGACTTCCTTATTTCAGGAAACATTGAATTAATTATTTCCACTCAGGAAAATACTGTATTGGAACCCATTCCTGCTTCTAGTCCCCAGGTGAACACCAGGAAGAAGCAAATGAAAAGCAGTCTTAGTGCATGCAGCTCAAAGGAGAAAAGGAACTCGTTTTCCCTTCAATGAAACTTTGATAATTAAAATAATAAAGAAGATGGGTTTCCTTGGCTCCCTCCTATCCACTCCACAGCCACTCACTCATTTCCCATTTGCCTCTTAGCCATGAACTGTCCTGTGTCAGCTATCTGTTGCACAATAATGCCGTGTAACAAAAGCATCCCCAATTTTAGCAGCTTAAAACAACAACCATTTATTGTTGCTCATATGTCTACAGGTTGGATGGGTGGTTCTGGTGATTTGGGCCAGGCTTGGCTGAACTCACCTGGGCTTACTCTGTGGCCAGCTAGTTTGTTCCGGAGCTAGAGTTAGTAGATTTAGCATAGCCTCAAGTAAGATGAGTTGGCTCTATTGCACAGATTAGCCCATGGTTGGTCTCTTTTCCTCAGGAGGCTGGTCCAGGCTCATCTTGATGATTGAGGCAGGGGTCCTATGCAAAGACCAGACACATTCAAGGCTTCCTGAGGCCTGGACTGGCACATTACTACTTCTGTTACATTCTGTTGGCCAAAGCAAGTCACAGGGCTAGCTCTGATTCAAGGGGAGAGAAAACGTACTCTACCTCTTCTTAATGGGAGGAGTTGCAAAGTCATGAAGCCAAGGGGTGGGTATAAGGAGGCCATCAATTGTGGCCATGAATACCATCAATCTATCAGAAATGCCAATTTCTTTTTAATTGTAGACTTAGTCCAATTTCACATAATAGTGAAACTCATTCAGATTCGACTTCCAGATTCCTAATTCCTAGGGGACTGGGAAAGCAGAGCATGCCAACCTTCTATAATCCTTCTTCATGTGACAAACATTTCCAGAGCTCTGACGCTGTCAGGTCCCTTGCTCAGTAGGTCCTGGGGAAATAGAGGAAAATGACAGTCCCTCGACCCTGAAGTGCTCAGCTCAGCAGGAAAACGGGGCTGTGAAGAGTGAGAGCAGGTGAGAGGCAGCCACTCAGTTCCTGCGGGAATCCCTGGGGAAGTAATAGTTGGTCTTGAGAGGTGAGTTAGAGTTTTCCAGAAAGAGACAGAAGGTAGTTTATTCCAGAAGTCTCGGGGATGAAAAGATGGTTGTGTTTTCAGGAATATGAGCTGCTTGCAGGGAACGGGAGGTTCCACACAGTGGAGGGACTCATCTGCCCTTTATTGAGAAGGATATGCAAAGCCACCGGAGGGTGTAAGATGCACTCCTATGCTTTTTGGAAGGATCTCTGGGGCAGCTGAAGACAGGGAGACCAGCTGGGAGACTATTTCCATTTTAAATCTATCCTTTCAGGTTGAAGTTTCTATGACTGTCCACCTGAAATGGGGAGATTCTCTGGAGCAGCTAAACTTTTGTGGTTGCTTGCTCAGAATTCGGCTAGCCAGTTTGCGGTGGGGGCAGGGCTTTGTCCTTCTCTGCTCTTGACTTGACTTCATAACAGGTTAGTTTTTAAAACTTCTAGTTCATTCCAGACATTACACCTCTGGCCCCGAGATAGAACGTGGCCTCCCTGACCCTGCATAACATTTCCACTTTCTGGGAAACACACCCTGTGCGTGATTAGGTGAGGGAGGCATACACAGATCCTTTCTGTCTCAAGCCTCCCTTCTGCGGTCCCTTCCCTTGTTTATGCACAAAGGTTCCAGCCTGTGACAAGCCCCAGGCGCAGTTTTCTTCTGACGCCTCGTTCAGCCCTCCTGAGCTTTCTGATTCCAGCCCTTCTCTTGCTAACCAGGTGGTCAGAGTGTTATAGGAAGCAGGACAGGCAGAAGAAATGGCCCCCAAAGATGTCCATGCCCTGACCCCCGGAACTTGTGAATGTATTGTTACATGGCACAGGGGCTCCTAATCAGCTGACCCGAGGACAGGGAAATTATCCTGGATTATCAGGTGGGGCTCAATGCAATCCCCAGTGTCCTTAAAAGTAGAAGCGGGGTACAGGAGAGGGGGCAGAAGGAAGCAGTGAGAGAAGATCTCTGCCTGACATCGCTGGCTTGCAAGAGGGGGGAGGAGGGCCATGAGCCAGGAACGTGGATGGCCTCTAGAAGCTGAAAAGAGCAAGGAAACGGTTCTTCCCTGGAACTTCCAGAAAGGACCACAGCCCTGCCAACCCTCTGATTTTGGCCCAGTAAGACTCACATCGAACTGTGGACCACAGAACTATAAAATAATAAGTTTGTGTTATTTTAAGCCACCAATGTGTGGTAGTTTGTTACAGCACAATAGGAAACCAATACAGATGTGTGAGTTGACAATGGCCTCCCTGGCGACGGGGTGCCCGCTATATCCCCATCACCTATGTGATGTCAGATGCTCAGGGCTCAGGAAGTGCTTTGGGAATGGACAGGGCTGACTGAGAGGCAGGAGTTGACACCTGGTCTCTCAAGGCCCCCATCTGGCTGTGTGACCATGGGTGAGTCCCCTTACTTTCCAGTGACTCAATTTCTACGTCTCTTAAGTAAGGATGTCAGGCCTCATGCCCTTCAACATTTGGGTGACTTTTGAGTTGACTCATGATATGTCCCTTAACCTCCTTTTCTCTCCCAGTAGCCACCAGTGGGTGAATCTCTCCCTTCCAAATGGTCACACCAATACCATCAATCTCAAATGCCAAGGTCATTAATCAGTCAGCACCTGAAGCTTTCATCAACTCTGTTCTCATCACCCTCTCTGGGGCCCCCTTGTTTTTCATGGGTCCCCTGTCCACAGGTTCAACTTGGGAGTCATGGTAGATAGACATTGCTACTTGGACCCACCTCATCCTCCAAACTCTGGGAGAGCACCTGGCCCTTTGTCAGCAATGAGGTATGTGGCAGGAACTCCTACATCATAATTTTGCTTATGGTCAGAGCTAGGACACCCCCCTGGCCCATGATGATATTTTTAGTAGAGCTTTGAATCTGAATCTTGCATTTCTTCTGAGCAGTGTGTGGCTTCTGGGTCCAGCTTCTCTATACAGTGTTAGGGGACAACTACTGAATCCACGGGAAGAAAATAAAGCTCTGTGTTCTTGTCTACTATAAGAACTATGTCACAAGTATGGGAAGATATTCATGGTACCATCTGTTTTCCTAATCCTTTTCCCTTTGTTTTCAGAGAGTAATGACATGTTTAAGTGCAGATTCAACTTAGAGGAGATTTTTTTTTCCATTTAGTAAAGAACTGAACCAAATTATTGCACGCTACCTCCGTGTGACACTCACATGGTCTACGTTGTTTTAAGGTTAGAGATGTTTTATCTTAGAGCAAATTCTGGCTACCCATTAGAATCACTCAGAGTATTTAAAACCCAAAGCTGGACCCCAGAGCCACTGAAACATTGGGTTAAAATCATTTGGTTTATTTATTCTTTAAAGATTTTATTTATTTGACAGAGAGAGAGAGAGAGAGAGAGAGAGAGAGAGAGCACAAGCAGGGGGAGTGGCAGAGGGAGAAGCAGGCTCCCCACTGAGCAGGGAGCCCTATGTGGGGCTGGATCCCAGGACTGGGATCATGACCTGAGCCCAAGGCAGACGCTTAACCGACTGAGCCATCCAGGTGCCCCAAAATCATTTGGTTTAAACAGTGACTCTACTTTCCCAGGTGCTTCTGACGTGTTGTCAGGGCTGAGAACCACGGCCTTAGATGACAGTAATTCCTCTTGTTCTTCATCTTGTTATTTACAAAGTCAAATGTACTTAATGGCGGCTCTAAAGAGCCACAGTGTCCCTGGGCCCTTGATTGTTATACTAGAAGATGCATTGTCCTAACTGACCCTGGGTTCCATCTTAGTACCAAATAACACTTTCAGAAAGTCCCGGGATCTCAGCCCTGGGCCTTCCGGCCAGCTCAGCACCCAGAATCCTCCGGAATTACACAGGTGAGACACTTAGAGACTCCCTCAGCTGTCTCTCTTCCATGAGCCCAAACAGACAAACCCAGCCCCTGCAGGGATCGTTTGGGCCCTGGTCCAGGAAAGCTGCTCTCTCCACACAGGGGCCTCTCCGGCCCATCTCTCCACTTTCTCCCTGACTCCTCATGTTTCGCTTACGACTCTGCAGCCCTGGCGCGTGTGTGAGGTCTGATCCCGACCTGCCTCCTTCCTGCGACCCCACTTACCCCATGAATCAAACCTTCGGAGCATACCCTCGGCCCAGCCACTGACATTGCTCTTAAATGAACTGGATGCTCTTCACCCATTCAGCAAGGGGGACTCGTACCTGCCCGTTGTGCTGAGGCAGCAGCCCAGGCCTGGGTTATATGGAGACCTGATGATCCCAGACACCTAAGTTTCCTCTGGACCAGCACTGACCACGTGGGGTCAGGCTCTTGGGAACAAGGGCTTCTGGGTCACACCTAGAACATGGGAACATGCTGGGATCGGTTCAGCCAACCCATGCAACTCAACTGAAGTGACTATTAATGACCTCAAGAGCACCTGGAGACAGGCATTGGGAGGGCAGCCTAGGACTTAAGGGGAAGGAGTAAGGAATCTGGTCTCTGGTGCTGGCCCCTGGGCAGGGAGGGGTCCCCAGAGGCACTGTGGCACCTAGTGTGGTTCCCACCACCTACAGCTCCCCCTCGCCCTTCCAACATTTATTCACCCTGCAGGCTGAAGATGTTAGCCTCAGCTGGTGTGTCCCCTGCTTTTTTTATTTTATTTTTTAATTTTTTTAAAGATTTTATTTATTTATTTGAGAGAGAGAGAGAATGAGAGAGAGCACGAGAGAGAAGAGGGTCAGAGGGAGAAGCAGACTCCCCGCTGAGCAGGGAGCCCGATGTGGGACTCGATCCCGGGACTCCAGGATCATGACCTGAGCCGAAGGCAGTCGCTCAACCAACTGAGCCACCCAGGCGCCCTGGTGTGTCCCCTTCTGAGAGCAGGTCTGACTCCCCTCACCCACTCTGGGCTGCCACGGTTGAGAGGGAGTCCAGTCACACAGCGCATCTCTTTCCTGAGGGAAACCCCCTTGGCTAGTTGTTCACAACCCGAAGGAATGAATGCTCCACTGTCAAAGAAGAGTGAAACATCCCTGCTTCCGAAGAGCTGCTAACAACCAGCTGCTAACTAGGTGGCACTTGAACTTCACGGACACCAGTTCCCATAGCAACCTCAGGGCACGCTCACGGACTGCCCCTGATACAAACTGCTTTAGCAGGGCTTTTTGAGAGAATCACATATTTTTAAGGCAAGTTTTAAGCATAGTTTTTATGTAGATGTCACGGGGTTCCTCAGCTGAGGCACTTGGATGAGAAAGTTGTAGAACTACTCTGATGTGACTGACTCCCAACGGCTGGGAGCAGAAGGACACAGGCGTAAAGGCGGCCAGACTGCATCCTATGATGCAGGGGGACATCCTAGGCTCAGCATCGTATTTGAAAACCTTGGACAGACCTCCACGCACAGTGCCATTTTGGTCATCTTGCCAAATCACAGAAGCCATAGATGCGTGATGTCAACACTGGTATGGGCCCCGCAGTGGCCTGACTGGCACAGAAAAGCCACATCTTTACTTAACTCCTCTATTCTGCCACCTCAGGGCCTTCTGATGAGAAAACAATCCTTTCTCCTCTTTCTTGGGCACTGAAGGGGATGAGTCAGTTTCTCCCCAGGTCCTCTTCCGGGAGGACAGGATGTCTGGCCCACTAGAGTGGATTCTCTGGGTACAAGGGCTTCTTGAAAAAAATGGGCTGGGATTTCCCTTGAAAAAGGGAAAATACAAAATAAGCCAGGAGCAGCTTGTGGTGCCGGAAAATAAGGAAGTCCTTGAAACATGACGGAGAAGTGTGAAGAGATCACAGGAGCCAACTTGAAAGGGCTCTCAATAGCCAAATCTGGGGAATTTGCGCAACAAAATAAATAACTATGACAGTGGATCATGACCCATAGAGGAAAATGAACATATTTTGCTAAGTGAAAGAAGCCAGATCCCCAAAGCCAGCTATCCCCAAGCTATTACATGAATCCACTCATATGACATTCTTGAAAAGGCAAAACCATAGAGATGGAAAACAGATCAGTGGTTGCCAGAAACAGGGGGTATGGGGAGGGGTTAATTACAAAGGGGCAACATAAGGGAATTTTTTGGGGGAGAATGCATCTGTTTGTTTCATGACTGTGGTGATAGATATGGCTCTATACATTTGTCAAATCCCATAGGACTACAAAGCACATAAAGTGAATTTTACTGTATATAAATTTCTTAAAAAAATTAAGCAGGATGTGTGTTCCCCCAAATAGAACACAGATTGTTACAAATGAACTCAGTACAGATGAATAATATAACCACACTGAAAGGGGGGGTAGAAAAGAACTAGCTTGGGGGCGCCTGGGTGGCTCGGTCGTTAAGCATCTGCCTTTGGCTCAGGTCATGATCCCAGCGTCCTGGGATCCAGCCCCACATTGGGCTCCCTGCTTGGCAGGAAGCCTGCTTCCCCTCTCCCTCTCCCCCTGCTTGTGTTCCTGCTCTCGCTATGTCTCTCTGTCTGTCAAATAAATAAATAAAATCTTAAAAAGAAAAGAAAAGAACTAGCCTGAAAACCTTTAGGAAACAGGATTTTGACTAGATACTGCAAGGCTAAAGACAAAGAGATTATACATGTCAGTACTGTACTCCTAATAATTTCTCATGGGAATATAAGTTAGCAATTCTGAAACTGCTTTATGTAGGGACTAGGGCTGAGCAAATAAGTAAATATATTGTAGATGTTGAGAGCCAATTTTCTCACTTTTGGAAAAAGAAGTTACAAATAAGAGAAGGGGGAGGCTAGAATGAACCCTGTGGTGTTGGGTTGGAATCTGAGACATCAGTATGAATGTATGAAGACAAGGAAGACTGAGGAACCATCATAGAGCAGAAGAGGCTAAGGAAACACAACAACTCAATGCAGTGGGGAATCCTGAAAGATCCTGGAGAAGAAAAAGGAGTTAGATGATTAGATAGACAGGGGCGCCTGGGTGGTTCAATGGTTAAGCGTCTGCCTTCGGCTCGGGTCATGATCTCAGGGTTGCACACTGGGACACCCTCTGCCTGCTCTCTCTCTGTCTGTCAAATAAATAAATAAATAAAATCTTTAAAAAAAGATGATTAGATAGACAAATGATGAGCATTTAATAAGACCTGTAGATTATATAGTAGAGTTGTATCCGTGTTAATTCCCTGGTTTTTATAATTGTATCATGGGCCATATAAAATATTAATGTTTGGGAGATTTTTTAAAAAATATTTTATTTATTTATTAGAGAGAGAGAGAGAATGAGCTTGGGGGGGGGCAGAAGGAGAGGGAGAAGCAGACTTCTGGCTGAGCAGGGAGCCCGACACAGGGCTCTATCCCAGGACCTTGAGATCACTACCTGAGCTGAAGGCACTTAACTGACTGAGCCACCCAGGCACCCCTAACATTTGGGAGATTTGGGTAAAGGAGTATGGCAATTCCTTTTTTTCCCCAAGTTTATTGAGATATAACTGACATATAACATTGTGTAAGTTTGAGGTGTTACAATGTGATGATCTGACACAATTAGATGTTACAAAATGCATACCACAGTAGGGTTAGTTAACATCTCCACTCTGTCACATAATGACTTTTTTTTTTTTTGTAGTGAGACATTTAAGATTTACTTCAAGCAACTTTTAAGTATATAGTTCATTATTGTTATCTATAATCACAATACTCTGTATTAGATCCCCAGAAGTTATTCATCTTCTAACTGGAAATTTGTACCCTTTGACCAATAGCTCCCCTTTCCCCCATTCTCCAGCCCCTAGCAAGCACTGTTCTACTCTGTTCTATCAGCTCAGGTTATTTAGATTCCACATTTGGTT